AAATTTGAATGAAAACTGACAAAGCATGTCCAAAATACAACATTTTCAAAAAACAAGATGGCTGCCAGTCGGCCATTTTGAATCGAATCGCTAAACCACATGCATGTGCATATGTCCCACATAAAGTACTAGGCACATGCGAAGAATGAACGGAATCGGTCCAAGGGATTCTGAGATATGACTCCGGACAGACACACGGACACACAGACGGACGGAGACCGAATTATAAGTCCCCGTTTTCGGACTTCGTCCGAACGGGAACTAATTAACAAATTAAAGTTACATGGCTGATACTACAGTGCTTAGCATGTCTATAGCAACATACATCATAGTTTTTTTTTGTTTTGTTTTTTTGTGCCAGGCGACATTGAAGACACTACTGTCTCACCTGACTTTTTTGTCTCACTAAGGTGTTAATTGCAAGTGCATGTGTGTAAACCACTCTCCAAAACTTAATAGCGTGTGTTTGGAAAGCAGTACAGACTCCAGAGATCCACCTCAGAATCTTCCTGAAGAGAGATGAATACATTAACCACATGGAAAAAAAACATGCAAAAAAATCTCAGTGAAAAGTCCTGCCTACCTCACGTAATACTTGATTACATTCCCATTTAGATCCAACTTTATTGTAAATATGCACCTCATGGTTGTTAGGTGATATCGCTAACTCTGCAGGAAAAACAAAACAAAACACACAGTTAAACATTTATATATGTAGAAGGAAGTAAATTCAACCTTATTTCACAACTCCATTTTTATTGCCATTTCAACTTTGTAAAGCACTCTGAGATGCAGTGTTGTGCGCTATATAAATAATAATAATAATAATACTGTTAATGCATTAACTCCAGAACTAAATGTACATTCATTCAAGTAGTTTTCCAAATCCAATCATTTGCTAAAACTAAATTCTATATTTACAATGATTGTTTCTTATTTGATTTGCGTTGTGGCTTCAAGGTGCAAGGTTCCTTGTTGTAGCTCTATCAGGAAGAAGCAGTAAGGTGTGCATTTTTTGTTATAATCAATTGCAATAATAATTAATTGATTAATTATCACCAATTTAATTTGGTATAGTGAATATTACTATTAACATGTGAATGAAATTAATGTGGACTACTGAGACATTGAAAGGGGGAAAATGCAACATCTAAATTATCACAACTACATTTTTTGTTATAAGCAGTTAATCAATCCTATTGCGAATTTACAGTTATTCCAACCAGGCTTGCACAGAGCATGCATTGACTAGGTTAGATACAGACTAGGGTTCAATTATTATTATTAATAATTCTATCGATACATATATGTGTATATTATTTTAGTATTTCTTAATTTAATACATGTTTTGATATGCCCTATGTGTTGTATTAGCAGTGCATTTTCAATAAAAGCGACATTTCTAGGAAAACGCAAAATTACATATCCACTTCCTCCTTCTCCTTCTCTTTGACGAATCGAACAAAAAACATGTTTTGAACTTACGGGTTCTGTTGCCGTTGAAAGCATGGCAACTTATAGGTTCCAATCCAAAACTGTGTACTTCAGGCATTTTTAGCTACTGAATCCTTAAAATAGGATGAAATAAGAGTATTTAAGAAGAGTTATAAATCCGCAACAACGCATCAAAACACCACGATGACATGATGGCTGCAGGAAGTCATAGGGGCGTAAATAGCGAGAAACGACCAAAATTTTCCTGGCCACAAAATAACAATATAAAGCAAACTATAGAGAGCGATCAACTGCAAAATATGGATATATACAATGGTTATTCGCTTACTTTTTCAATGATCGTGGACCTCTGGCGAATTGTTTGGGTTAAATTCAAATATTCAAACAGTTTTATGGAGATTCACGGACTCTGGTCAGTCTACGCGAATCGAAAAATGGCGATGACCTGAGTTAGGTCAGTGACGTAATTTCCCTTTAAAGGTTAGAGGTCAAACTGATCACCTGATACCTGAACTGATACGAATTATTTGTTGGTTTAAGTTGTGTACGTTGTTTTTTATATCTGCCGAATTGCCTCAACAATGAGCAAAATGTCACCGATGGTGGGTATCAAGTGGCTGGCAGAGAAATTATCCTCAGGTGCCACGAAGAATTTCCGGGTTTTGGATTCATCGTGGCATTTGCCGAATACAAACAGAATTGCAGCACAGGAATATCCGAAGAAACACATCAGAGGTGCTTTGTTTTTCGACATCGACGTATGCTCAGACACAACATCGAAATACGTCCACATGTTGCCAAGTGCCGAGCTATTCGCGAATTATGTCGGCAATTTGGGAATCAATAACGACACACATGTGGTGGTCTATGACAACAACGATAATTTCGGGCTATTCTCCGCCCCCCGCGTCTGGTGGATGTTTCGACACTTTGGACATCCACACGTTTCTATTTTAGACGGCGGGCTTCCAAAGTGGATAAATGAGGGCCATCCGGTGACAGACGAAATACCAACGGTAGAGCCGGCGAAATTCGTCGCAACTGCAAATTCAACCGAAGTGGTCAGTTTTGAGGAAATGGTTCAGAATGTCACAGACGGTGGTTTCCAGGTAATGGACGCACGGGCAGCAGGCAGATTTGACGGTGTTGACCCAGAACCAAGACCAGGTAAGTCATATACTAAATTGTTATACTGATCTTTGGGAGTCCAAATATCTTGGAAAGTATATTATTTTTTATTTATTTATTTATTTTTTAACACTTACTCACTCCCCGGAGGGAGTGGTAATGGTTACAGATAATAGTAAAAGTATACAGTATTAATACCCTAATAAGGAAGTAATAAAAATAAACTAATCTACAAAAAACAGAATATTAATAGAAAAAACCCACAATAAAACAACTCCTTCTAAAAGGATTTGTTGTATAATTTCAAAGCACTTGTTGATATACTGTGCTACCTGTCTATCATCATTTAACAATGCAGTGAACTGTTCTTCAGGAGGCAGGTTGTGAAAAGAGTCAATCACATCAGCAGCTGTGTCAAACAGAACACTGCGCCTGTCACTGTATTTGGGACACTCCACCATAAAATAATAATCTATTTTACCCGAACTGCACCCTGGAATTTTGTGTGTCGCGCCCTCTACATGTGATGCATGATTTTAATTTTAATTAATTCGGAAAAACGAAAATAAGTCTTGAATGCACAAAGCTGTTTGCTGAATTAAATTTAAAAAAGGCAAACAAAAGACAGACGATTTAAAGGGTGGTCGTCGACGGTCATCGCACCTCATATTGATGTGTACAACGCGTATAAAATACATTGTATGTTTACATGGAAATCGAACACGCGCTGTGCGACGACTGTGTATAGTGTACACTGTGATTGATGGGATTTCAGGTAAAAATTATGAATCACGCTGCATTGCCGTTAGTGTCACTTTCCAGATCTCTAAAAGAGGAGTGGAATGTTTATTACCTGATGAAAATCGGAGCCTAACCATTGTTTGGAAAGAACATTTCAAAGTTTCAATCACTAGTAGTCACCATTATTTTGAATAACAATTCACATTCAATTTGATAAGCATCAATAATGATAGACAGTATTATTAATCAATGATTGATTGATAGTTCGCGGGCAAAAGTAAACAAAAAAAATACTTTTGAAAAAGTAATCCTTCTAATTATTTTGTTTGTTTCTTTTAGATATAAAACCTGGCCACATCCCTAAATCTATCAGCTTCCCATTTCCACTCATCCTTGATGGAGACACCCGGGAAGTGAAAAGCCTGGAAGACATTAGGAAGATCTTCGATGAGAAGAACATAAGTTTGGATAAGCCGTTAACTGCATCATGCGGCTCTGGAGTCTCTGCTTGCTGCCTAATATTAGCAGCCAATCTGTGCGGAAAAGATGACGTGCGTCTGTTTGACGGCGCATGGGTTGAGTACTATCTGAGGGCAGACCCCAAGGATATTCATGTGAAGGGGCAGGTTTAGACAATTAATAAATCAATCAATACTCATCTAAATATATGAAGCGTTCTTCGAAGCACGATTGTTGCATCTATACCAGTAACAAATTCTGCATGTGTTTGACAACACGACTTAAGCTTAGACATCTCTGAAAACTGAAAGATAGTAGTGGAGCTGTTAAAAAACATTTGTAATTTTCCCGTGATGCATGTTTTTTTTACACCTGTGTAAGTAATAAATATATAGAAGTACAGCGGGCACCTGAACATGTCACTTACCTCTGAAAAGTTGTGAACATGAAAATGATAACCTTAGCTTGTTTTTTTTTTCAATAACCCCCGAAAGAAAAATAATAATTTTAGCAATAATTGTATACACCAGAGGGCTGAATCGTTTCAATTATACACCAAACCCCCTTGCCAATTAGGTTCGGGGCTTTTCATCCAACCCAATGCATTTCTGATTGGGTAATGGGGATTGAGTGGAATACCCCTCCCCACCCATTTCTTTCGGTCATTTTTATTTTTTGTGTTTAATGTTATTATGATTACTTTGCGCCTTCGATTACCGTGTTACCATCAAGTCAGTGTGTATTAGTTTAAATTAGCAAAAAACAACTTGTGCACAACATATTCTGTGATCCACGTCATGTGCCAGTTACATAAGATGAGATGTTAATACCGGACATAGAAAACAATTGATATTCAGTCTCGTTGTAAAACAGGCTGCTATCTACATTCGAGCTTGTTCGACAGCCTCGCTGTCATTCTAGTCTACTGAGACTGATTACAAATCACGCAAGTGAAGCCAATATTATAATCCATTGTCAGTAACATGTCTATAGTAACTGTTATTTGATCGTAGCTAGAAAACAAAGGCAGATAACGAAAGAACTCGAGACGCGATCAGCTAGCCTTCAACATAGTGGTTAGTAACTTTGAGAGAATGTCTGAAACACAGAACAATTTTAACTCGTTTTATCTTTTCGCCACCTTAGGGAAATTCAATGTTTTTAAGCGGTTGTTATGAGCGTAGTCATGGTTGCCAACAACATTTTTTTTATTTTGTATGCATGGTTACTATGAACATACATTGGTTACTAGCGATTCGAACGCATGACATTATTTTGAAAAAAAATAGATGGTCGTTGCACAAGTGATTCAGTGAGGAAACTCAATTGTTAGAATGTTTGCTATGAACGTGGTCAGGGTTTTATTATTATAGTATACAACAAGTCATGGTTTAGGTACTAGTTAACTTGTGGTTACATGATGGTTACGGCATATACAACAAGTCATGGTTCAGGCATTAGTTTATTCATAGTTACATGATGGTTATGGTATATACAACAAGTCATGGTTTAGGTACTAGTTAACTCATGGTTACATGATGGTTACGGCATATACAACAAGCCATGGTTTAGGTACTAGTTAACTCATGGTTACATGATGGTTACGGCATATACAACAAGTCATGGTTTAGGTACAAGTTAACTCATGGTTACATGATGGTTACGGCATATACAACTAGTCATGGTTTAGGTACTAGTTAACTCATGGTTACATGATGGTTATGGTATATACAACAAGTCATGGTTTAGGTACTAGTTAACTCATGGTTACATGATGGTTACGGCATATACAACAAGTCATTGTTTAGGTATTAGTTTATTCATAGTTACATGATGGTTATGGTATATACAACAAGTCATGGTTTAGGCATTAGTTTACTCATGGTTACGACATATACAACAAGTCATGGTTTAGGTATTAGTTTATTCATAGTTACATGATGGTTACGGCATATACAACAAGTCATGGTTTAGGTATTAGTTTATTCATAGTTACATGATGGTTATGGTATATACAACAAGTCATGGTTTAGGCATTAGTTTACTCATGGTTACGTCATATACAACAAGTCATGGTTTAGGTATTAGTTTATTCATAGTTACATGATGGTTACGGCATATACAACAAGTCATTGTTTAGGTATTAGTTTATTCATAGTTACATGTTGGTTATGGTATATACAACAAGTCATGGTTTAGGCATTAGTTTACTCATGGTTACGTCATATACAACAAGTCATGGTTTAGGTATTAGTTTATTCATAGTTACATGATGGTTATGGTATATACAACAAGTCATGGTTTAGGCATTAGTTTATTCATAGTTACATGATGGTTACGTCATATACAACAAGTCATGGTTTAGGTATTAGTTTATTCATAGTTACATGATGGTTATGGTATATACAACAAGTCATGGTTTAGGCATTAGTTTATTCATAGTTAAATGTTGGTTATGGTATATACAACAAGTCATGGTTTAGGTATTAGTTTATTCATAGTTACATGATGGTTATGGTATATACAACCAGTCATGGTTTAGGCATTAGTTTATTCATAGTTACATGATGGTTACGGCATATACAACAAGTCATGGTTTAGGCATTAGTTTACTCATGGTTACGGCATATACAACAAGTCATGGTTTAGGTATTAGCTTATTCATAGTTACATGATGGTTACGGCATATACAACAAGTCATTGTTTAGGCATTAGTTTACTCATGGTTACGTCATATACAACAAGTCATGGTTTAGGTATTAGTTTATTCATAGTTACATGATGGTTACGTCATATATTACAAGTCATTGTTTAGGTATTAGTTTATTCATAGTTACATGATGGTTATGGTATATACAACAAGTCATGGTTTAGGCATTAGTTTATTCATAGTTACATGATGGTTACGTCATATACAACAAGTCATGGTTTAGGTATTAGTTTATTCATAGTTACATGATGGTTATGGTATATACAACAAGTCATGGTTTAGGCATTAGTTTATTCATAGTTACGTCATATATTACAAGTCATGGTTTAGGTATTAGTTTATTCATAGTTACATGATGGTTATGGTATATACAACAAGTCATGGTTTAGGTATTAGTTTATTCATAGTTACATGATGGTTATGGTATATACAACAAGTCATGGTTTAGGCATTAGTTTATTCATAGTTACGTCATATATTACAAGTCATTGTTTAGGTATTAGTTTATTCATAGTTACATGATGGTTATGGTATATACAACAAGTCATGGTTTAGGCATTAGTTTATTCATAGTTACATGATGGTTACGTCATATACAACAAGTCATGGTTTAGGTATTAGTTTATTCATAGTTACATGATGGTTATGGTATATACAACAAGTCATGGTTTAGGTATTAGTTTATTCATAGTTACATGATGGTTATGGTATATACAACAAGTCATGGTTTAGGTATTAGTTTATTCATAGTTACATGATGGTTATGGTATATACAACAAGTCATGGTTTAGGCATTAGTTATTTCATAGTTACATGATGGTTACGGCATATACAACAAGTCATGGTTTAGGTACTAGTTTATTCATGGTTACATGATGGTTACGTCATATATTACAAGTCATGGTTTTTGTACTAGTTTATTCATGGTTACATGATGGTTACGTCATATATTACAAGTCATGGTTTTTGTACTAGTTTATTCATGGTAACATGATGGTTACGGCATATACAACAAGTCACGGAAAATATAACACGTCGTGGTCCGCTGTGTGCGCTGTTAGAGCTTAGCTACAGCATTTCTTATCTGTTTTCCTTCTTTGGTATTTTGGTCAATCCATGCGTGATATGAATGGTAAACCCGGCTTGTTACAAAGAGCGCCCTCATGTAGATCTACTTTTGTCTTTTTGTGCGCCCTCTCGACTGGTGTCCTTCAACTTAATCTCCAGGTCATCCGAATCGGGTTGTCTAACGGGGAATTGTTGTTGGACTGCTCAGTGTGCTCAGAGCCGGGTGACAGCTGTATATAATTCGGTATGTCCATAGTCTCTTCATTTCTATAAGTTCTCTCATTGTCATATAAACGCGTGACTCTATTCTGTGAAACTCATTCGAATTTCGATACAGCCTGGGCAGCTTTGTACTTTAAACTTGGGTCATGTTGTAGTATTTGTTCATAGCCCTGAATTTAAGGCGTTATCACGTTCGGTCACCGACTGCCCGTTAAGCATCGTAGTCAGCCGACGTCCGAATGTAAATAGCTCCCACTCTAGCAACGACCTGAATCCAGGGCTAGTCACAGTATCGGGTGCACATTTCACGTAGAACTTTGATACATGCATGATGGCGAATATGTACAAGATTAAGCATAAGTGTACATGTATATTTGAATATTATTTAAGTTTACTATATTTACATAGTACATTGCAAAGTGCATTGGCCTGCACTGGGAGGATTCTGTGCTTGGTTTGTATTCAGCGCATGGCCTGTGTTAGATGGATTATATGTATTGGCCTGCATTCAGTGCAATGGCCTGCATTCAGTGCAATGGCCTTCTTTCAGTGCAGTGGCTAATTCTGTATACATCTGAGAATGTAGGGTGCACAGTTTTCATTGAGACCTGGTCGACACCCCAGGTCGACACACGAGACTTTTGTAGATTTCACAACTTCCATGTACCCAGGGCTATAGAATGGCCTGAATTCAGTGCACTGCCCTATATTCAGTGTATTGGTACTTTGGCCCTGCCTACATTCACTTCTCAAAAAACATGTAATCTACAAGGAAGGACGCAAAGTTAGGGCCTTGCTTATAAACATAAAATTGTGCAAATACCAATCGTCAGCTATCATTCAAATTCAAATATTTAAATAGTGATTGACTAAAGAGCTAAACATTGTCTATGTCCATAAAGTGTGCACATACCTTCACATAGCAATTGTAACTGTCCACTTATTCAAAATAAGGCACTTGTTGAAAATAATAAACCCACTCATTAATTAGAAAGAAAGGTTACAATACCAATTCTAACATTCATTTTGATTTATAACAGTGCCCCCACTTTATATTCTAATGAGAATCGGTAATTGAAATTTGTCCTGAAGAGAATTTCTTCGGTGATTATTTATTTCCATCATCTTTGATACTGCATAATTTTTACATTGATTTTTCATAGTGATTTTATATTTATATTTGCAGGTTAGGTGTTATTGTACTATCAATCCAACTTCCTATTTCATGTGTGTGGTGATTCATCTACTAAAAAAATGAATAGAGCATCATCCCTTGTAAATGTAAGATGGCTGGCTGATAAAATTGTATCTGGTACAACTAAAAATTTACGAGTTCTGGATTCCTCAAGGTATTCATCAGAAACGAGGGATGCTTTAGCTGAATACAAAAAAGAGCACATCAGAGGGGCTCTGTTCTTTGACATCGGAGCATGCTCAGATGTGACGTCACCGTACTCAAACATGTTGCCAAATGCCCAGTTTTTTGCCGATTATGTTGGTAATTTAGGAATCAGTAACGACACACACGTTGTCACTTACGATACCCACGAATGTGGTATCTTTTCGGCTGCGAGAGCATGGTGGATGTTCCAACATTTCGGACACCCTAACGTCTCTGTTCTGAATGGAGGACTACAAAGGTGGATAAAAGAAGGCTATCCATTGACTGACGAACCCACAGTAGTTGAACCAGAGAAATTTCAAGCTTCAGTCTCCAACATGTCTGAGGTTAAAACGTTTGAAGATATTGTTCAGAATATAAAAGATGGTCGTTTCCAGATGATGGATGCACGATCTCCCACTGCCTTTGAATCAGAAGAAGGTAATTAAACACTATAAAATACTTTATTTTAGCTGGAATTAATTTTTGCTGAAATGGGTGTTTTGTATGGAATTTATTTTCACTGATTTCTGATGAGTTGAATATAAAATATAGGAAAAATGGTATATTCGCTGGATTTTATTTTCTCTGAATCAGTGAGAGTAGCAATTAATTCCAAGCGGAAATAAAGTTTTCAACAGTATTTGCGGTCAAATGAATTTTAAAGTTGCATGCACTTTGTATGAAACATAGAATGTGTAAAAAGTATGATAAATTAAAATTAGATATCCAACCCTCTTTTCCCAATCATTCAATTTTGAGTGTATTTTTGTAATTTTGAGTCTTATCCTTTAGACAAACATACCTACCTCAATGAGTGTTTATATTCGGAATATCGCATAAATTCCTAATCTGCAGTTAATTTTAAATACCCATCCACAATCTCAACATTAGATGGTGTATATATTAGTCAGAGGGTGGCACCACACAGATTTGCAAAGTAACAGATTGTAAGATCTAGTCCCCAAAATATTGCTGTTTGCACCAACACTGTAGTCTGTTCATAATAATATGAGGGTATTACGAGGATACCTCAAAGTTTGCATGAAGACAATACAATGCAAGTATCAACCGACGCGCAGCGGAGGTCTATGTGATGGCGTACTGTCTGAGTGCATACTTTGAGGTATCCTCGTAATAACCTTAATATTATACATCTTTTCCTTCCAAGGATACATCATGCGAATGCCGAAATCCAAAAATTTTAGAAAAGAATCAGCGAACTTCTCTGTGTAGAGTCCGGTCTAACCCTGGTGGCAGCCATCATGTTTGTTTTTATTATTAGTTCACACTTATGCATGCAATCGTTCCATATTTGGAATTGGCATTTCCTAATATGGTAGGATGAAAATACCGTGTAAAATAATGCAAATTACGGCACGCTGTAACTTATGGTGTTACTAGACAGATGTATAATAATATTAATGAATATTCATAATATTAATGAATATTCTTTATATCTATATTTACAGATCCTAAAAGCCATATTCCAAGATCCATCAACATACATTTTCAAAACATAATGGATGCAGAGACTGGAGAAGTAAAAAGTACAGAATTATTGAAAAAGCTTTTTCAAGAAAAGAATATTCAACTAGACCGGCCACTGACTGCAGTTTGTAATACTGGTGTGACTGCATGTTGTTTATTATTAGCCGCTAAGTTATGCGGCAAAGATGATGCATGTTTGTATGATGGATCTTGGAGTGAATATTCAAAGAGAATAAACCCTGTAGGAGGAAATGGGAGGGGAAAGGCATAAAGCAGTTCTTTCTGTCATACTTTTTATTATCCATTGCATGGAGTTTTGCTTTGTAGAATTTTAAGATTTTTTGGCTTCATTAATTTCTTTTGTCGTGTATGCCACCAATTAGTTGACTTGCATGTGTGAAGCACAAAAGGGTCAATTTCTTGTCAATTGGTATTTGAACAACCACTTGTACTACTGTCATCCAAGTCGAAATCAATGTATATTTTACATTCCTCATTTTTGTTGCTTCATTTTGTTTATGAGACATACTCGGTATATCGAATACAAAGTATTACATCTGTGGGACTTCACTCCCGTCAAGCACTTTTTCCAACGCCCAAAGCCGAAATGGCAATCAAGGTTAACAGGGTTGTTTGTTTGATGAAAAGTTTGCTTTTTCAAATTATTCTTAAAAATGATGGTATTGATGCATGTTGTATTGTAAGTTGATTCATAATGGCATGACCATGTTTGTCTTAACATACTTTGAGCGATTTCGTTCAAGTTGTTTTACTCAGGGGGTAGCATGATATCATTCTGAATACTCTTCCAACATTGAATTGTAATATACAACAATTCACCATATTTTGCCTAATTTCTCCAAGGGTTTCATCTATTTTTGACAAATTCACGAATATGTCTTTTCATTAACAGTATAGTACTCCTATGTTATATTGGTGCTATTGCTAGGTCATTAAATCGGACAGTTTCAAAATGAAGTTATTATTGTTTTGTTCATTGGTGAGAGTACGGTATCTGTAACTTGTATTATAGTAATGCCAGTATGTTCACTAAATTCTAAGTGTTATCCTCATTGGTGGAAATATACTAATGCACAAGGGAAACATGAATTGGCGACAAAGTAAAATTTTCTATCTAATATTCAAAAACTTGCCATCCATGAACGTGTACCTCAATTATTTTTAGGTGCCAATGCTGTCACTGGTGATACATTTGGTGATCGTTAAGCATTTATTGCGAATAATGGTTCAATGGATAAACATAATTGTAGTTTTTCACCCACCATTGATCATTTGAGAATGAGAAATACAGCAGACTTTTCACCTGTCAAATACTAGTTGACTTGAGCTATATATTTTATACATAGGACGTTCATACAATAACTGTGTCATACCATCTTGACCTGCCACTGACCCTAGTGTAATATGTTCATGAGTGATGCTGTATATCCTGTGGCCATATGTTTACAGGCAAAGTCTGTGAAAATACAACACATTCTAATATGAGCAACTGTAATTCTTGTGTATTCGATTCACACCAAGTAGTATCTTTTTTCCAAAAAAGATATTTAGTGCCACACCAGTCTGATGTAAAAAAACATCGTCTACAACCTTGCCATTGTTGGACTCTGTATAATAGCGCAGTCATATTGACAATGAAAAAAAGTTTTCTAACTCGAGATAATTCACGCGTTTGCTTCGTCAAAAAACAAACTGGTGTCAGTGAGATGATGTCAGGTTTATTTTGAGAACGTTTTATAGCACAATTATCGGGTTATTCCATCCTATTCTTATAGGCCAATTCTATTTTTTTTCACGAAATTTACACAGCACTTTACAGAGTCTTTTTAAATTAAGAAAGCTGAGAACATTTAACATTTCCTAGTTTAAGATGTATTTTCAGTCAATAAATTAGAAAATAAAATCATATGTTCAACAGTATTGCGTGAACACGTGAACCACATTGAGTGTTGTCAATTTAATAGAAATCAGATTGGTGGGTTCATTTTTGGGGGGCTTGCAAACTGCTACGGTATAGTGTATCGTCGAATAGAGAGGAACCTTTCTCTGAAGAACATTTTTATCAAATCCCTCCCCCGGTTCAAGTACGATTTTGACTTTGAATAAGTAATGTTATCGTTTTATTCTTCCTGAAAACCGAGTGCACTTTCAATACAGTATATCGCTCAAACTTGCATTCACACAGTTTTAACGTCGACTTTATTAAAAAAAAAAAAACAGAGAAAAGTTCGAGCTTTGTCACAAAATAATGGTCACGGGTGGTTTGAAGGTTCGGCAATATTCTTGTTACGTAATATAAAAAAAAAACTCCATCACATCAAAATTTCTGTTTCTTATGACACTAAAGTGGATGTTAATTAGTCCCTATTTAGGCGCAGTTTGAAAAAAAGGGCCTATAATTTGGGCTTCGTCAGTATGTGTGGCTGTATGTTACCTACATTTTCTCATTTTGCGGCAGATATCAATCAAACTTGGCATGCAATATTTCCTATATGAATATGTATTCATATATGAATACTAGTATCCTAAGTGTTTTTTTTTTATATTTGTTCTGCCTTCATTACATTTTTTTACATTGATGACTGTTCAGAAACATTTTTTCTGAGCAAATCCACGCAAATTTTGTTTTTCTTACCCCCCCCCCTCCCGCATTTACGTAATGGTCGGCCCCGTACCAACGTGTCGGCTTTGTGCTTGGACGAGATTTACATTAGTCCTATTCAAATGACAAGCTTGCTGACATCTAGACAGATTGAAGATCCACATCGTTCAAACTACATCATTCAAAATTCTCATACTCATGCTTGTTCATAAAACACGACGTAGTAGTGTGCCTTTGAAATGTCTTCATTTGTACGCCATGTTGTGCCTGTACAGTTTTACATGTGTTAACGGGACTTGCCAACATCTAGACAGATTGAAGATCAGATTTGTCAAAATATATTAGATCAAAATTGTTCTCACATAAATAAAACGTGGCGGCGTGCTTTTGAACTGTATTTATACATTGTTTTGTATTCAATTTGGTGAATAATGAATAAAGCTGAGCACTTGCGATTGAAGGACACCAAAGTGTGGTTCCCTAACAAGTAACGTTTTCATAATGACCACGAACTTCAGAATGCAATTTTTCAAATGACAGTGTTCAGTTGTACAAATTGCCGGGATAAATTGTACTTACAATAACAGCCGTACAATTTAGCAACTTTTGTTGTGGTGGTATCGTCTCTAGTGACAAATTTATTTGGATGGAATACTACTATCCATTGACGTCAGTAAAAATATTTCCCGTCACTACTGGCAACACCTGAGTGGGGCACATCGATATTGTACTGTCTGTATATGCTTGTATATTTTTCTGTACTAATTTCTATTATGAATTAAATATTTGTATTGGTTGTGAATCGAGGGAAAACATAATTTCACGAAATGCATTTAGATTTGTATAATACGTAGGCATTGCTTGGTGAACAGGTTTGAGAAGACCCGCTAATATGAATAGGTATGATACATGGGGCTCACACGATTTTTTTTCAATTACAGAACATATAGAATGACAAGAATAAAATTTATCATATAATACGAATAACAATACGTGTACTATTTTGATTTTTAACAAACACTTAAATACTACAAGTGTGCGACATCAAAAGTCTCTTGGTATAACAATTACTTTAATTATGTATTTTGGTAACACCAACTATGGAGACTTGGGTACTAATGTACTGACACCAATTTTGATACAATGTATATAGCAATTCGAGCTAATGTAACAATACTATTGTGTAGACGGATTAGGGACCACCTTGATATTTTTTTAAAGAAATTAAGGTTATGAATAGTTCACAGTTCCCTTTACTGTGCATTATGTGTACGAATATATGCGTTGTTATATTTACAATTTTGAAAATCTTGCTCACGTCTAATTTCACATGGTCCAAAAAAACCGCAAAAACAAGCATAACACAGTTACATAAACACATGAACATGATTAAAAAAACCTCAAATATATGTACACAAAATAGTCTGTAAATTATCTCCACTCAGTGCTAAAAAACAAAGGTGAAGCCCAAAAACAAAGACGATTCCGTGGCGATATTTTTTATTCGCATTCATTGCACTTTGAACCTTTTCCGTGCGTACGCAAATGCGTCAGAGAACTGGCATTCGCATTGTAGAACAATTTATTTATACGTGAATTATATGTTATTTCAATGGGGTGCACATCGTACGTGAATAGAATAGTATGTTATCTTCACACTCAGGTTAAAATTAGGGCAGAGAACCTGAATACCTAGGCGTAGAGTTCTAGTTTTGGTCGCAAGGAGCTCTGGGAAAACAGTTATATCAAAGTCGAGTGACACACTATGCTTTAACATTGTCGATGACATACGTTCCATGGTCCACCATCTCAGATTAACCCACCCTTACTCAGCGTGAACTGGCGTTATTGAAACAGCGATCGTCTAAACACTAACAAGCTTGAAGCAATAATGACGAAAGCATCGACTCTAGTGAATGTGAGATGGTTGGCTGAGAAAATTACGTCTACTACAAACAAAAATCTACGAGTTCTTGACTCGTCAAGGTATCCGTACAAAAACAGGAATCCACGGGCTGAATACCAGAAAGAGCACATCAAGGGAGCTCTGTTCTTCGACATAGCAGCATGCTCAGATGTTACATCGAAGTATTTAAATATGTTACCAAGCGCCCAGCACTTTGCTGACTGTGTTGGGAATTTGGGAATCAGTAACGACACACATGTTGTCGTCTATGACACCCATAAATGCGGAATATTTTCGGCAGCGAGGGCGTGGTGGATGTTCCAACATTTCGGACACGACAATGTCTCTGTTCTGAATGGGGGATTACAGAAGTGGAGAAACGAAGGGTATCCACTGACAGACGAGGTCACAGTAGTTGAGCCGAAAAAGTTTCGGGCTTCACCCTCGAACGTATCTGATGTTAAAACGTTTGAAGACATTGTTCAGAATATAAAAGATGGTGGCTTTCAGTTGGTTGATTCACGCAGCCCTGAATTGTATGCTATAGGTAAATTCTGAATTGTTTGTTATTACACAGTGAAAGCATGCTTATTTATATACGGCATAATAACCTCATATCATTACAAGTAACCTGTAGAATGCTGTGTGGGTAATATTTTTATATTGATTTTTGTTGCATTTGCAGCAAATAGTTACCAAACAATGAGAAATCTATTGGATTGAATATACCTCTCGGCTGGCTCCACATGCATAGTTCAAGCCTGCCTAACCGGTGCTTATACCAGGATTTAGTTACAGCTTCATGTTCCCAGTAATCGCAAGAAATTGACATGACAATAGAAATTCATGAAAGACTGGCACTCCCATGCAATTAACAGCGAGTTAAATTCTTAGGATTGAAACATATATTTTGAAGTCACTGATGTAGGCAATGAATAACTTAAAGTTGACATAAAGACGAGGTAGTTTATGATTAATCAGTGCTCAACT